CGCAAAAACAGCTAATTGACTCTCTTGTGGTGAGTAAAAGGAAGAAACGGCGTTACAGAATCTGTGAGTGGCTCTGAAAAAACCCGTTTAGAAGCGCGCCTTGTGTTACCCCCACACACACCTTGCTTTTTATCTCCGTTTTCCTCTCTCTCTACCTAAAAAACAACTATTTTAATTTTAATTTTTTTTTTAAATTTTGGTACAATTACAAAAATATATTTTTGGAATGTCACTTTTTAAAAATATCATTTTTAGAAATATTTACAAAAATTTTGTTAATTAAAAAAATTAAGTCCCTAAATATTAAAATTCTAATATTAAAATCTCAAAATTAAATTCTAATACAATATAGTTAACTCAAATATAAATAATATAACGAGTAAAATAATTTTGAAAATTAACATTTTTACAAAAATTTTGAAAAAGTGGCATTTTTCAAAAATGGCATTTCTCAAAATTTCTTTTCTAAAAATGACAATTTTGGTGTGTTATTTTCAAAAATGCTATCTGAACTCTTCGTTTTATAAAAGGAGAAATTACAAAAATGCCACTTTTTGTGTGCATATTTGCAAAAATGCCACTTAGAGGTGTTCATTTGCAAAAATGCCACCAATTATATATTTATAAAGCCTATATCTTAAAATTCTAAACCCTAAAAAATATTTTGACGCCTAAAACCTCCTAAACCCTCATAACTAAACCCTAATAAAACATAATTAACCCAAACATAAATGATATAAAGAAAAAATAATTTTGAAAAAGTGGCATTTTTGTAAAGATCTTAAAAGTGTGGCATTTTTTAAAGTGGCACTTAAAAAATAACATTTTTTGAAATTTCTCTTTAAAAAATGTCACTTATTAAAAATTGTTTTAAAACTAAATCATAAAAGAGAAATTTTGATAAATGTGACTTTTGAGATATCATTTTTGAGATGTCAATTAATATCATTATTTAAAATAAATTTAAATATCACTAATAATATAGTATCATTTATGTTTGCATTAACTATATTATATTAAGAGTTAGTTTTTATGTTATATTAGGGTTTACTAAAACTAGCATTTTCGAAACTATATTCATTTTTTTAAAAGGGACAATTGCAAAAATATCATTTTTAGTGTGTACATTTGCAAGAATGTCATTTATGGGTGTTCATTTGCAAAAATGTCACTAATTATGAATTTT